TTTTTTTTCTTGATTTACTATCGTTCGTCGTCGATCGTCGCCTTCTTAGCGCGAATAAAATCATGGAATAATCGCGTAATCCTCATGCAGTAAAATTGAGAAAGCCATATCGACCAACTTTATAAATTAAAACACGATATGTACAAAACATAACAAAAGTACAAAAACGAATCCTAGAATTCTCTAAATTCGAAAATCATCACTCGTCGGCTCATTTTTACAACTTATGACAAACTTCTGAAAGTAAATCACTCGTCTCTCCTCGCGACAATTGAATTGATTCTGATTTATATATGATTATTGTATTCACGCGATCAAACTAAAAAAAAATTAGCTTGGCCTCTGAGAAACTCTTACATGTAACATAGATGTAACAACCAACTAAACGTTCAGTGCGATTCTCGCGCGCGCACTCGCAGCGTGCCTCGTCACACGTTTTTTTTTTTTTTTTTTTTTTTTTTTTTTTTTTCCACCTCACTCGTTCGTTCAACACGAAATTCTTTCGAATTTCTAGCATTTCTTTTTCCCCCCTCCGTTATCGCTATCGTCGATGTCGTTACTGTTTTTTTTTTTTTTCTTCTTTTTTTTTTACCATTACAACTACGATTGCCTTCACTACCGTTTCGCCGCTGCTGCTTCTGCCTAATATCCCTATTGCTAACTACTACCACTACCACTACCACTTATCTCCTATAATGTGTACCGTTACTAAAAAGAATTGCTCCTCTTCTTATCGGTTACTATCTACTAGTCTTTTGTCTCTTGCGGCGTCCGAGACTGCGTCAAGACAACAGATCATTATCACGATTGACGGGATCGTCGTTGTCCAATTCTCGTTATATTACGTTTCTTTCTTTCTCTCTTGCTCGTCTGTGTCGATTGAATATGTACACGCGGAACATCCCGAAACGTTCATTCAACCGCGTACACACGACTCTGTCCCGACATACTGCGCACACGTTCTGCTAATGTTAATGTTAACGCTAATGACTAAATGCGAATAAATAAGGGGCGAAATGTTGCCGCTTGGCTAGCAGGCACATTTGGGAGGGGACGAAATTAAATAACGGAAACTGGGAATGAAGAGATGGGGAGGAGGATGAAAGTACTGAAGTAAGAAAAACCTCGCTGGGATGGTTTAACCCTTAAGCACTATGAGCACCGAATATCTCCGACTGAGTATTTTTATCATTAACCCTTAAATCGGTATCGTTAGATTGTAGCAGTAATAATCACTGGTGCAGTAATTTTTGTCAAGTTACTAGAATCTTGTATTACTGTTAATCTTGTATACTTGTATTGCTGTTGCACTTTTGTATTTTAAGTTCTCCTTTGCAATTAAGTATTCAATTAAAATAAAGTTCGACGGGATTTCAAAAATTCCAAAATTAATTAATTTGATCGGAATTTCCGTCGACCAAACATTCGACGATATCGATTAAGGGTTAATAATATAGAGCGTGGAAGATTGGATTTTGATACTTACTCCACGATCTGCGAGATGTTTCAAATTTCGGCGTTTCGACAGCACTTGAGGATTAAGCATGGACAAAGATCGAACACGTTCCCTATCACATCACTCGTGCACTCGAGTGACTTTATCCTCAAACTTTCTTCGCTGGAGATCTGTTGTTCGATTCTTCATATCGACAAACTGGTTTTCTTAATCGTTGCCTTTTGCCACGACAATAAAAAACGATGAACAAAACTGCGTTCGAGCCGCGTGGAAAAATTCGCTTGAAACAATCCGACGAAGCAGCGTTTCTTAACCACGGTTCGATTCCCCGTTAATAAATAACCCTTTTTGTTGCTATTATCACGCGCCTCCAACACGCGCTTTTTTCTTCAGTTACCGAGGACCGCACAGATTAAGAAACGCTGTGACAGAGAGAGTGTATTAACTGAATGAAATCGAATTGACCCTTTCAGAAACGACTGTCCAACTTGCTCGTCTTCTAAACATTAGAATCTAAGATTACACGTCGCTTAATTTTGAAAACTTTCAGCTTCAAACTTTCGGCTCTAACTTTGTTACTTGATCTTTATCAGAGAGAGCACGAAAAAAAAGAAAAAAAAGGTCATCGACAAACTACGGCAACATCGTCCCCGAAGGGGCTAACTCGGATTTGGAATCGGTTTTCGAATCGAGTCGGGCCAAGTGGAGCCAGGTCTCGGTGTCGGTCTCGTTAGGAACGATTACCGTGCTCCGTCGATCGATCGTTGGAGCGTTCGAAGAACCAGGAAACTCAGTGGCTGCCGACGTTCCGCAGAATGGCGCCAGAGCCGATCGTGTCGTTGCTCGTATCCTCGATCAGATCGAGATTCCTCGGCACCAAGCAAACATTGAACGGGTCCGGAGTGACGGTGACGCCGACGTTACCGCGCAAGCTCGGCAAGGACGAGCCCTGCGGCGATCGCAGCTCGAACGTGTGCATCAACGAGCTAAAGAACAAGAACAGCTCCATGCGCGCCAGCACATCGCCCAGGCACATGCGTCTGCCGACGCCGAACGGCATAAAGTATTCCGGTTTCTGGACTTTACCTTCGGCCGAGAGGAACCGACTCGGTCGAAACACCTCCGGCTCGTCCCACAGTTCCGGATCCATGTGCACCGCGTGCAACAACGGCACCACCTGAGATCCCGCCGGTATCGTGTAACCGTGCAACGTCACGTCTCTGAAACAATGATTTTTTTGTTCTTTTTCTTTTTCTTTTTCTTTTCTTTTCTTTTCTTCGAGGCGTTCGAACTCGAAGAAAAGAGAACTATTTCAAGGCGAGATTTCGTATGAACGTCAGCACATGTGTCTCGGCACGTGCGTCAGAGGTGAGGCGACAGAGGTGCAAGTATCCGAATGCCCCTGAATTACTGCAGTGCGAAACACTCGAACGAGTCTCGAAATAATTGTAATAATAGGCGACTCTGCGTGGTTGTGTACTAATTGTTGAAATTTTACCAGAGACACGTGGTCGAACGATTAATAACGAAGGCAAAACAATAAATCCCGGAATACGTCACAGATAGACGATCGTCTTTAGCGTGAAATTTTGTCAGCTGGATGACACACGTTTTCCTGCTTTTCGAATCATACTCTGCTCCACTCTGCGAGTATAAATGCGTCTGACGTTTATAGAAAACCACCTTTCGCGACCACGTTTATGATTCATTCGTGATACATTCATTCGCGGCGTCTTAACACTGAAAGACACACACTGTGTGTAGCTATTACATATCGTTATCTCGGCTTTGTTCTTTTCTCTTTTCCTCGTCCATTCGTAAGTTCTACAATGTTTCCCGAGAATCAACTAGAGAATTGGCCAGAGACTGGTTTGATTTTACTTTCGATAGCTTGATCTTACCTCGGGAATTAATTAGAGAAAATACGAAACGAGAGAATAACAGATTAATAATAGAATTGCTGTTATTTTCACTGTATTACAATTATTACTATTTATGCATTATATATCATTTATTACTAAATTTTAATGAAATTAGTAGTAAAATACTTGTTATTGCTCATACGCCTATTTAACTAACAGAAATTTCTTACTTCTAGTAATATAAAATAGAAAAACTTTGAAACTAAACTGAGATGAAAAATTTCGAAAGATTTTCCCACGCAAAAAGCTACGTACATGCTTAACAGAAGTTTAAATTCTACAATTACCTGGTCGTTGAGTGAGTGGTTCCCAAAGGGACTATGCTCGATCGTCTAAGGACCTCGAGTATCGTCGCCTCTGTTATCGGAAGGAAAGGTAGATCTTCCAAGGCGGGCATCCTCGATTTGCCCACCACCTGGTCCAGTTCCTCCTGCACGGCAGTCGCCGCATCCGGATGATGCAGCATCAAGATTATCGCCCATTCGAGCGTGGTCTTCACCGTTTCCATACCAGCGGAGAACAAGTCACCAAGGATTTGTTGCATCTGTCGATCTGCAAATAACACGGAAAGAAGAAAAGGAGTGAGCGGCGTAAAACGAAACGATGTTGTGGATGTTTGCGTTATTTAATAAGCCTCCATTTAAATATCGAAATTAAAAATTTATTACCTCTATCTACGTTTAAACTAAAGAAATGCGAATTTTCAAATGTACCTGATGTTGAAAGGTCTCTGTTTAATTACGTATCTTTCACATTATGTATGAAAAGAATATCTGTACATGCGTACAATGTTGAAAAGATAATATAAAGGCGTATAAAATTGATCCTCCACAGATAATCTGGGCCCTGAGCGAAATTTCGAAGCAAATTCTATTTTCTATATAGATTTGTCTGACTAATCCAAACTATTTTTGCATTTTATAGAAACAGCGAAAGAATGAGACATTGACCGATGAGTGATACATATAATATACTTAAATATAAATTACAAAACTGAATGTTATTTGACCTACGACAAACTTCTAGTAAGTTTCTTCGGTCGTGTATTTCTCATAAAACTCATAAAACGCCGATTCCCCCTTACCATGATTCTTCCCTTGAAAGAGCGTGGTGGCGCGACCTTCACCCTTCGCTTTCTCGATCTCGAGCAGATACGCGTCGACAAGGTCTCGCACGGTGCTTTTGTCGAACGTTGCCCGATGCTGGTCGACCGCCTCTTGAAAGAAGTCCGCCATTTCCGCGCGGTTCTCCGCTATCTTGTTGCGAACCCTTTGGAGACAGGGCAGATGACGCAACACGGGGATGAAGTTGACGGTGACCATGCTGCCGAACAACTTGAAACCCTCCTCGATCAATTCCATGAATCGTTTGAACCTATTGTCGCCATGTTGGAAACGCACTCCCATTATGATGGAGCATATAACGTTGCTGATCGACATTCCAAGGGAGGCTGAAACGTTCGTCGGTACGCCTGGTTTCGACGCCAATCCACGAAGGAACATCCTCACCTCGCGCTAAAATCAAATTTGTATACCTCTTTGAACAAACCTTCTCTTTCTTCTCGTATAGAAATTTCTCTCCTTCTCCTTCGTTTTCAATCGTACATTATTATTATTATTATTAATATTTTCTTTGTACACCTTTTGCGTTTATGTTGTAATTGCATTTTATATTTCACTGGCCCGACAATAATTAATTCGATGAATCTTTCAATTACACGCACAGTTGGTATTGTTAATTTCATTAATTTCTACTTTTTCGTATTGCCTTTCGTATCATGTTGGACAACGTTGAACAATGAATAATAATAAGTATTCTATCGTGGTGCACAGCGAAGCAAGTCATGCAGTAGAACCTTGATCGTACTAATCGCGACGCACGCTGTATGTGTAATGGGATAAATTTATTCTATAAAGATCATTTATTTGGAACCGCTTTATAAATACCGGTGATGTTATTGAACGTTAAATTATATCGTATTCAATATTTAATCACGTAGCATAAAAGTAAAGTAATTAGTTAAATACCAGTTGGAGTAAAAACGTTTTTTTCAATCGGTCATTAATCGACTAATCGATGGAAGGGAAATGGGAGACGAAAATTTTCGCAAAACGCAGCGCTCACCATGATTCTCGATTCCATAATTTGCTTTCCACTGCCCATATAGGTCATGCCGAAGCCTCTGAGCTTATCGTGAAGAAATTTTCTTTGGTCTTTCCACAAGGCACCTTCGGTGTTGATAATACCTATGAGAGAGAGAGAGAGAAAGAAAAAAAAAACACTCTTGAGCTTCAAAGATCAAGCAAACAGACCAGTGTTCGTAGAATGCAACGCGTCTCGAATAAATATGACGAAAACAGATTTCGTTTCATCGATAGCCATCGAAAGAATCGGTGACGCGAAATGAAGAAATAAACCAACTACGAGTCTGGCAAATAACAGCGTGAATACGTGGAAAAGAAGAATATGTTAAAAAGAGAGGGAAAGATTGAACGCGTGCGAGAAAAGAAATTGTTCGTGGGAAAAGCGAAAGAGAGGCCGAGAAAAAGAATCCGCGTGTACGCGAAATCGTACGTGCGATAGGGCAGTGGTTATCAGAAAGCGAGCATGACAGCCGTCACGTGCTATAGACTTACCATATCCGCCGAGGATGTTGATGAACTCGGTATGCGGTCTGCCAGTAAACTCTTCCCGGCGAAACGTGTCGCGAATCGTACGATGATCGCTAAGAACAACCACCAGTTGCGTACCGATCCGGGCACTGAACATTGGGCCGTACTTTTTCGCCAGTTCGCCGTACCGGAGGTGAGTGTCGCTTTTCAAGAATGGCATATAACCGAACAAGGGTAGACCCCAAGGCCCTGGAGGCAGAGCGCGCACATACCTAAGCCATTGCAAGCACCTCGCTATCATTAATGCACCTATGAACACGAGAAACGTGCAAAGGACCTCGATTCTCGTACCACCCATTACTTGCCAAGCCCATTGTGTCGCGTGTTCCACTAACATCGCGCTACTATGTGTTTCCAATCAACGGTGCCGTGAACTTTTCTATCTTCCGCAAAAGAAAGAAAGAGCCGTGCTTCTTTTGTTCTTCCTTCTGATATATTTCAAGGAATTTCTTCGATAGTTTTTCTTTTTTTCTTCTTCTTCTTCTTCTCTCTCTCTCTCGTTCTTTCTTTCTTTCTTTCTCGTAGCTTCGTAACAATTTCCAACCCCCCGGTGGTCTCGTTTACTTTCTCTCAGGCTTTCTTCTCACCTTGATTTCTTCAACTCTTTTACTCTTACGTTATAATAACCTTCGCCGCTTACTTCCTACGCTTCCTCTTTCTCTTTGCTTTCCTCTCTCCTTTCTCCGGTCGCGGTATCACCACCTGTTGCCTCTTTCTCTTCCTTCTAACTCCGTCAACACTCTCGCGCTTGTTCCCTTTCCCTTTCGCTTTCTACGCTCCTTTCTTCTTTCTCTCTCTTTGTTTGTTTGCTTGTTTGTTTGTTTCTTTCTTTCCTTCTGTTGTTTGTTCGTTCGTTCTTTCTAAATTTTTCTCCGTCCTATCTCCTTTCGCACGAACAGAAAGTACCACGGTCCGATACTTCGAACACAATTTTCCTACTCGAAACGATGCTTCCGAAATTCGCGGCTTTAAGTATCAAATCTGACTAGGCTGGTGGGGCATAATCTGGAGGGGAATACACGGGTGGAGAGGGGGGTGGGAAGGAGAGCGCGCGCGTGTGTGCGCGCGTGTACGCTCGTGAGTGCGCGCGTGCGCGCGTGTATACGAGAGAGGATAATTGGAGCAATTTACCAAAAAAGAAAAGGAAAAAAAAAAAGAAAAAGAAGAAGAAGAAGAAGAAGAAGAAGAACGACTTATTCGACGCCGAATATTCAGAGTTGTAACAATTACGCAACGACCGGGACGACAACGCCGAAAATTCAGGGAAGAGTGAAATCTCTCGCGGAGAGGAGCCGCGGATTCGTGCCGATTAGCACGAGCAACGAGTAGAATAAGAACAGGGAAGGGGAGAAAAAAAAGAGACGTGCACGCACAGGTGATAAACGGCGCTCGCCGCGTTCTTACGCGCTAGGGGAAGAAACGTGGCGGGAGAGTCAATGAAAGCGGAGGGAAGGGCGCAGAGGAGAGAGAGAGAGAGAGAGACACACCGAAAGAGGGAGGAAAGAGAAAGAGAGCTGAGCGATTATTTAATGGAACAACACTCAGACATGAAAGGAAAAAAAAAGAGAATAAAAAAAAGAAAAATAGAAAGGATCGGAGGCGGGAAAGAGAAGAGAGAGAGAGAGAGAGAAAAAGGGAAGAGAGAGAGAGAGAGAGAGAGAAAGAGAGAAAAAGTCGGTCACAACCGCAACCGAATTCACCGGCGCTCGCTACTTCGTGAATCGTTGCGAGCCACGGGAAGATTGAGTGTATACTAACATACACCTTCTTGTCCTTGCCCGTCTTATATAGTGACTCATCGAGCACCGGCCCCCCAGCGGCTTTAAATGGCCCCCCCTCCCCCCGGATGCCACCCAATTGCCCCCGGCAGTCCCTGAATATGGTGGGGCAACGGTACAAAGAGGAGCAGAGACGGACGTAAAGGAGCGGAAGGAGTCAAGTAAGACGGTGGTCCGTTGAACGAGTTACGGTGACACGAAACGCGACACGGTGGGGGTACGAACGCGAGCTTCGCCTTCAGGGTAGTGGTGCCGACTTCCGTCGAGGGTGCAAGGGCGGACTCGTTGTTCCACGATCTCGTTGGTCGGGGACCACGAGGTCTCTTCTACCGCAGCCGGTAGACGATAGTGGGGGTATTCGGGCCCCCTGCAGGGATTCGAAACCGTGGAACCCAGTGGTGGGGGGGGGCCGGGGACCTGGCTATCACCAAACCGAACCGAGTGTCTCTCCGTTTTACTCGCGATGGATCCGCTTCGGGTCAGTTGTTCTCTCTTGATCTTTGCTTTGTCGCCTCTCTCTCTCTCTCTCTTTCTCTCTCTTCGTTCGTCTATCATTATAAGTATGTAAAAGTAGACACCGAAGAGGTAAAGATGGAATTCGTCGTCGGCAGAAAGAATTAGAACGATATACATATATATATATATATATATTTGTAAGAAATTTCTCCTTCCCTCCATCTTTCTCTTTTCGTTTCTTCTATTCTTTTTTCCTTTTTCTTTTTTTTTTTTTTTTTTT